GCATGACCATTCGGATTGAACACCTTCAGCCTGGGCTCACGCAAGGCCCTCCAGGACCCCCTCGGCGACCATCGTCCCGGCAGGGGCACGCCGCGGGTGGCGCCTGGGAGGCCAGGCCCCGTCCGCCCGAAGATTATGTTGGGGTGGTGTTCCTCGTCCTCCTCCTGTTCCTTCTCCCCCCTCTGCTTCTCCTCATCATCATCACCAGCATCATCATCATCATCATCATCATCATCATCATCATCATCATCATCGTCATCATCATCATCATCTTCTTCATCATCATCATCGTCATCATCATCATCATCATCAGCATCAGCATCATCATCATCCTCATCCTCATCCTCATCATCATCATCTTCATCATCATCTTCATCATCATCATCGTCATCATCATCAGCACCATCATCATCATCATCATCATCATCATCATCATCATCATCATCATCATCATCATTAGCATCATCATCAGCCGCACCATCATCATCCTCATCACCATCATCATCATCATCCTCATCATCACCCTCATCCTCACCCTCATCCTCATGATCACAATCATCATGATCGTCGTCAGCATCATCATCATCAGCGTCAGCATCATCATTACCATCACCACCATCATCCTCCTCATCATCATCAGCATCGTCATCATCACCATCACCATCCTCATCATCGTCCGCATCCACATCCTTATCCTTCTCATCATCATTATCATCATCATCATCAGCATTACCATTATCCTCGTCGTCGTCACCATCATCGTCATCGTCGTCGTCATTTTCAGCATCAGCACCAGCAGCATCATCACCATCATCATCATCATCATCATCATATTTATCATCATCATCATCACCATCATCATCATCATGATCATAATCATCATCAGCAGCAGCACCATTATTATTAGTTGCATCATCAGCAGAAGCCTCCTCCTCCTCCTCTTCCTCCTCCTCCTCCTCCTCCTCCTCCTCCCCCTCGTCCTCATCCTCTTCCCGGTCCTCCCCCTCCTCACCTCTCCTCCCTCCGACCTCCTTTCTCCTCCCTACTCATCTGCCTCCTCCTCCTTCTTATCCTTCTCCTTCTCCTCCTCCACCTCGTCCCCCACCTATTGACTCTTTCGTATGGTCATACTCAAACTCATACTCATACTCATACTCATCCTCCCACTCCTCTCCCGAGTGGGGGGCGGAGATCGTGCTCAGATCCGAGGCTGGAAATGTTCGGTAACCACCGCCTGGGGAATCGATCTTCGGGGGCCTCGGCACGCAGTCGGTATAGATATTCTCAAGCCCACTGGGGCCACTGTGTATCCATATCCACCGACCGCTGGGGTCCCAGGACGTCTGTTCCACAGGCTGTGGGTATGGATGCATCCTCGCTCCGCATCAGGCCCTGACATCGTCATGTTCTTACAACTTGGACCCCCGGAGATCTCGACCCATTCCCAGGACCCGTTTTTCATCCTGGGGCGCTTGTAACCGTCCGAGGCCCGGTGAGGGCCCCCAGAGGCCGAAAAGAGCACAACAAATCCTGTCGTGTTTTTTTCTCGACGCGAGGGGGTACATGCTCGGGTGGCCACCCTGCCCGCGGGCGTCGCAATCCCGTGGTATTATCCCTTTGTGTTGGCCTCGGGGTGCCGCTTTCCGGTGCCGAGGCAGTCCGGGATATTTCGGCCCGCGCAGCCTCGCTGGAGGAAGCAACGGGGGACGAGAGAAGCTGGCCCCCAGGAGCTGGCCCACGGACCGGGAAAGCGGGTGCGCAGGGAGCACGGATGATGAGCCTTGGGGTGAAGGGTGCCGATGCGTACCGCTCCTCGTCCCGGAGAGCTCTCGTATGCTTCGGTTCCCACGATGAGAGGCGGGGTCCGCTGCAGGAACCGACTGGAGGACTTCGTCGCCGTCGCGGGCTCCCTGCGGATCTCCCACCTCATCATCTTCACGTCGACCAAGGTGCCACAGGGAAGGACGGGTGTCCTTAGGGAGAGGGAGCTTCCAGAGGTTCTCGTCGTTGCGGATCGACGCATCTTGGAACGACGTAAGGATTGGCTGAGGCAGAACAATCGGTGCCGCCGATCCTGGGCGACGACCCTCACGACCCATGATGGAAGAGGCATTCGGGAAGGTCGGGATCATACGCTCCCAAGACTGCCCAGGAGGCTGCACGAGAACCCAAAGAGGTGCCCAAGGACCCCCACGAAGTTTTGGGTGTCTCTTGGGAGCCTGTTCGGCCGCTGGAGTAACCAAGAGGATTTGTCCTTGATCGGACGGCGGAGGAACACAAGGAGAAGAGGGAGGTGCTCAAAAAAATTGGCACCCAGCCTCCCGCGGGGCCCCTCCCGAGCCTCCTGAGGCAATCGCGCCGTCACAAAACCGCCGGGTGTCGCTCAAGAGGGGCATGAGGACTACGGTTTGGGGGAGTACCATGGCCAGGGCCATGATGTCTCACAGACCTCATTGCTCCCAAGCTTTCTTTCAATGCGCTCCCTGGTCCCCCCCCCGTCCAGGCACATACCTCGGGCCATGATTTGCTGCTCCCCTCTCGGCGGCCAGCCTAGGAGGGAAGCAATAGGGGGACAGGGCCTTATCTGAAGGCTGCGGGGCTTCTCAGAAGCCCTCGCGCCTGCCTTCTGGGAGGCCCTGCAAGCCTCCTTCGAAGCCCCGCCGCCCGCTGAGAAGGCCTGCCCCCTCTCACTTTTCCCCTCTGGGCCCGCCAGCCCTCGGAGGCCCCCGAAACGCGGCGAGGGGTCGGGGGGCCCACTTCCATCCATGCCCCTCTTCCTCGCGCCGGCCGAGGTAGCCACTTACATGAAGCTCGCGAAGCTGCCGCAGGGCCCGACGTTGACCTTCAGGGCGCCTCGCTCACCCTCGTTCTGCATGCTGTCCTCCTCGCTGCTCCTCCGCCCCCTCCCTTTCCCGCTCCCGTTCCTTGTCCTCTCTTCTGCCGCTCCTCCTCCTCCTCCTCTTCCTCCTCCTCCTGTTAGCTTGTTCGTCTGTTTCTATACAACCATACATACATACATACATACATACATACATACATACATGCATACCCACATGCCTACATACCTACATACCTACATACCTACATACCTACATACCTACATACCTACATGCACACATACATACTTACATACATACATACATACATACATATATACATACATGCATGCATGCATGCGTACATACATGCATACATACTTACATACATACATACATACATACATGCATACATACATACATACATACATACATGCATACATATATACATACATACATACGTACATACATACATACATACATACAAACATACATACATATATACATACACACATACATACCTACATACATACATACATACATGCATACATGCATACATACATGCATACATGCGTGCATGCACGTATACATACATGCATGCATGCATACATACATACATCCATCCATCCATCCATCAATCCATCCATACGTACCTACATACATACATGCATGCATGCATGCATGCATACATACATACAAACATACACATGTACATGTATATATATATATATATGTGTGTATGCGTATGTGTGTATATATATATATATAGATTATCCCCTCTCTCTCTCCCGGTCTCTCTCGGCATGAAGGTCTCATGACGTAGGCATCCCCCCCGGGGCGGTCGCCCCTGGGGGAAGAGGGTTTGATCAGACTGGGATATCTTGTGGACCGGGACGAATCTCGGAGAGAGGCCCTCCGGAGGGCGAGTTGGGCCCCTGCGGCTCCTGGAGGTGCCGGCGGTGCGCCGCGTCTGCCTCCTCCGCCCCGTCCAGGCAGCGGCTCCTCCAAACGCCCATCCCTCCTCCGAGGCTCGCGGGAGCTGCCCAGCCCCTGGGCGCGGGACCGCCAGCGGCGCCGTGCCGGCAGCGGTGGCGTTCGCGCTGCTGCTGTTGACGCGTGCGGGGGCAGGTGCGACGTCTACAAGTCTGTGCTGTGAGTGGGCTCGGCAGTCGTGGGCCCAGGGCTACCCTGGCCCTGGCCATGGGCAGCTTGTGGCCAAGCTCCATCTTCGCCCCACACACTCTCTGACCCCATCCGACCCTCAACCCACGAGACCGGGCGAAGCCTGGCGAAGGAGGGGGGGAGGCACAGAGAGACGGAAAAACACAGGAGGTGAGGTGGGCGCTGTGTTGCCAACGCTGGTTTTGTCGTTGGCGCTGGGATGTTGCGTGCTCGCTGTCTCGAGCAAGTTGGTTCCCGCACCTGGGTTTGAATCGCTTTCGGGGACCAGGGAGGTCGGAGGAACGCCTCGAGCTGAACGCTGATGTTTACAGCCTCTACGCAATGAGATGCCAGCCGTAACCGCCCCCATGGTTGGCCTGGCTTGCTCCTGGCGGTTGAGGGCCACTCTGGTGGTCGGGCATGCGCGGTAAGGTGCCGGCACGCGGCCGGTTGGAGGCTCGTGCCGTCGAAGCCCTCTCCCTCGCCCCAGCCCGTCCCTGTGCTACACCTCCCATCCGTCATCCTGGCCTTAAGTCGGGCCTGTCCCTCTACAGGGGAAATATTCAAGAATATAGTTTACAAAAATAGCCTGGGGACGATTCTGTGAACTTTTGTGGAGCCTTCTCAGGGATTATTTTACCATGTTTCGTCCAAAGTCGGCCTGCAGGGGGACAGGCCCGACCCAATCCTGGCCCTCACTGAGGGAGCGTGCCCGCGCCGCGGGCGCGCGGCGGAAAAGAGGGGAGGAGCGAGCGGGGGAAGGGGGGGCAGCGCAGAGCAAGTGAGGGGAGAGGCCGAGCGTGGCTGCCAGCGGTGGCGTTCTCGCTGGTCAGCCGTTGGTGGATGGGCCGTCAGCGGTGGTGTGCTCGCTGGTCGTGGCCCTGTTGGAAACTGGGCCGTCAGGGCAGCGCTGGGTTACTGAGATGGGCGGGCGAGTGCAGTGGCAGCAGCGAGCAAACGAGGCGAAACCGATGGCGGAGGCGAGGGTGAGCGGGAGGTGTAAAAGTGGAGGATGCCCAATGGGAACGATTGGCAGCGCGGATGCGCTCCCAGCCGCCTTCGTGGGCGACCACAGCGCCGCGAACGTGGGTTGGGGCATGGCCGACGGGCACGCGCATGCAGCGGTGCACGACTTGCGTGCTTGGCTGTCCAGGCCAAGGGAGTCACAACGTCACGCACTACATCAAGGAGTGCATGCACCTGAGGAGGATGGCCGAGAGAGTTCTGCGGGCGCCGCTCCCCAGCTCCGTGCGGCGGCGGCTGGGGCTGGTGAACGGGGACGCCGCCCAGCCACCGCGTCCGGCATCTGTGGTCGCCCTCCTCACGCGCTGCCGGCTGATCCTGCAGGAGTGGCGCCGCTGGGAGGTAGGTGGGCGTTCCAGGGCTCGTTTCGATTCCCCCGATGCGATTCGATTCGATTTCGATGGATTCCGATTCCGATTCGATTCGACTTGGGATTCCGATTTGGGTTCCGATTTCTCACTGGACGTGTACAAGCCTGCCGATTTCAGCCGATTCGAGTCCTCCCGACTTGGCTGCCGATTTTCGCCGATCCGATTAATTTCGATCGCCGATTCGACTTATCGATTCGATTATGTGCCCTCCTGGCGTTCATCTCCAGAGGCGAGGCCGCGCTCCTCGTGGAACCAACGGGGTTGGCTCTCCGACGGCCGTGCGGCACGCGGGCCAGGCGCCGTGAGCTCTTGGGGCCGCGCGTGCTGCGAGGCGCAGCATCCTTCTCCTCCTCCTCCTCCTCCTCCTCCTCCTCCTCCTCCTCATCATCATCATCATCATCATCATCATCATCATCATCCCTCCTCCTCCTCCTCCTCCTCCTCCTCCTCCTCCTCCTCCTCCTCCTACTCCGCCTCCCTGCTCCACCTCCTCGTCGTCGTGGTCCTCCTCCTGCCTCTTCATTCCCCTTCTCCCTTGTCCTTTTTTCCTCCTGCATCTCCTCCTCCTCCTTCTCCTCCTCCTCCTCCTCCTCCTCCTCCTCCTCCTCCTCTCCCTCTTTCCTCTTCCTGCTCCTCCTCCTCCCTCCTTCTCTTCTTCGCCCTCCCTCCTCTGCCCTACCCCGTTCCCCTGCTCCTCCTCCGTCCTTCCTCCTCCTCGTCGTCGTCGTCGCCGCCGTCGTCGTCGTCGTCGTCGTCGTCGTCGTCGTCGTCGTCGTCGTCGTCGTCGTCTGCGTCCTCGTTCCCCCCCTCTCTCTCCGACAGCCCCCGCAGGCTCCTCTCGGCTTCCTTGCCGTAGTCGCCGCGTTTGCCGTGGCCGTCGTCGCCTCCGCCGCCGCCGCCGCCGCGGCCGTCGCCGCCGCGGTCGCCTCCGGGCGCCGCCGCCCACCTCCGGGCGCAGAGCCCCGCCGCCGTGCGGGTATTGTGCCTCTGCCTCGCAGCGCAGGGGCCCCGAAGGTCTCGACTCCCTCCCTGGGCTCGGGCCCCCAAGCGGTGTGGGGATTCGGTGGTTCGGGTTTCGGGGCTCCAGATGGGCCCGGCTCTTCAGGAGGACAGTGATCGGTCCTCGGGCCTGGAGGATGGGGCTGGGAGGTATGAGGATGTCCTTACCCGTAGGCGGCCGAAGGTTTCTTTCATGGAGATCCGGATGCTGTTGCTGATGCCTTTCATCCTGCCAGCCCCTTCTTCCCAATACGATAATTGTTCTCCGCAGCTTTTCGCCCCGATGCGTTTCGATGGTCCCTCGGAAATCACCGAAACTCCACAGTCGTGCTTTTTATTACTCGCGCAGGGGTCTGGGTCGTCGCCATCGCCGCCGTCAGCACCTTCCGCCGTCGATGATGGCATCGTCACCCCCCGCCCCTCCCTTGACATCGCTCGGACGTGTGCACCGTTTCTCGGCGGGGACCAGCGAGGAACATCCTGGATCATGGAGCACCAAATCATATGCACGAAGCCGAAGAGTGCACGGGGAATGGACGTCCGAGCGATGGTGAGCTCCAGGTTGACAGCTTCTCGCTGGCCCGCGACGTGAGGGCCGCGCAGAAGCGGCCCCGGGCGGGGCAGCGGGACCTGACCGTGGCGCCGCTCCAGGCGCCTCCCCGGCCCCGGCGGCCGGCCGGCGGCGGCGTCGGCGATGGCTACCACGGCAGCGGCTCCGAGGCGGGGATCTTAGCCAAAGGCACCGCCTGGGGGATGGATCTTCGGAGACCTCGGCAGGCGGTGGCCATGGACACATTTGGGGTCTCCACCCTCGGGCCCGAAGCCGGGATTCAGCCATGGCCACCGCCTGAGGGATCGATCTTCTGGAACCTCGGCAGGCGGTGGATATGGATATATGTGTGCCCCCCCCCTCCTTCCGGGCCCGAGTGTATCCACATCCACCGCCTGCCGATGGCCACGAAGACCGATCCCCCAGGCAGTGGTTTTGGGGAAAAGCTGCCTCGCACCAGCGGCCCAGGCGAGGGCGACTGCGGGGACTGCGGCGACGGGGACGGCGGCGGCGACCGCGAGGCTACGGCGAAGGCAGCGACGGCGGCAATGTCGACAAGGAGAGAAGGCGGAGGGAGAGTGATCGGAAACAAACGAAGGACCAGACGACAGTTCAGCAGGAGGAAGGCCGGTAGCACTATCGAGCGGAGTGGATTGGGGGAGGAGAAGTGGGGGAGGAGGAGAATGAGGAGGAGGAGGAGAAAGAATGAGGAGGAGGAAGAGGAGGAGGATGATGAGGAGGAGGATAACGAGGAGGAGGATGAGGAGGAGGAGGAGAGGGAGGATTATGACAACGTCAACAATGAGGGGGAGAACGAGGAGTGGAGCAAGGTGGAAGATGCCGAACGGGAGGAAGGGGCAGTGAGGACGGGCAGCGGATGCCTGAGGGGGAGGGGAGGCACGAGGCGAGTACGTCGACGGGGGCGACGTCGACGAGGAGCAGTGGGAAGATAAAGAGAAGGATGATGAGATAAGGGGGGAGGAGGCGTACGGGGATGAAGAAGCCACCGATGATGAATACGCTGAAGGCCAGGGTGCCCAGGAACACTCCATTTCCGATTAGTTACCAGCTGGGTCTGTTGTTTTGCCTCTTGAGGTGGGCCTTCTTCTCTCTCTCTCTCTCTTGTTTCTGGGGGGGCACTAAAGTATGAACTATGGCCACGCGATCCCTGACTCAGGCTAGACTGTGCATAAACCAGGGGTGACACACTCTCTGAAACTTTGAGCCCATATCTCCCGATCCTCCCCTCCTCCCTGAGCCCGCCCCTCCTCACCTCGTTGTTCTCTGTGGCCTCCTTGTCCTCGGTCTTCCCGCTATCTTTGCCACGCGAACGCATGGAGTCCTGGACCTTTTCCCTGGGACTGTCTTTTGACGGCCCGGCGAGGTCTCCCGGGAGCTGAACCTTGGCAAAAATCTCCCGTCGTGACGATGAGAGGAGGTCAGGATGCAGCTCTTGGGATCTCAAATTCTGACTTTGCCCTGGTCCGAGATCTGGCTTTATCCCGCCGAATCCGGTTTCATCCGGACTACTCCCGCTCCGTCCGCGGCCTGATGCGGCGTAGAAGCCCCCCAAGGGGGCCCAATTCTCCCCAATCCTTCCAACGGAGATTTCCGGTAGTTGCCTCCTAAGTCAGGGCTATCCCCCGTGCTCAGTTATGGCCACCCCCCCTCCGCATTCCTCAGACCGCCGCCAGCCCCTCAACAGTGCGGCTGCCCTCCTTCGTCCGCGGGGCCCTGGTGGGGGCCTCCGGGGCCCCCTCCAGGGGCCTCTCGGGGCTACAACCCCCTTGGAATTGTGCGAACGGAGTTCCCCACATAAAGATGTTACGGGGTTCCATTGTTTCTTGTCTGCGCTCTGGTGGGGCCTCCCTGGAGGGGTGGGAGGGGCACGAAACCTGATGAATAATATGGTGTGCGAATGCCCTGCCCGCTCTGGTGGGGCCTCCCTGGAGGGGTGGGAGGGGCACGAAACCTGATAAATAATATGGTGTACGGATACCCTGCTCGCTCAGGCGGGGCCTCCCTGGAGGGGTGGGAGGGGCACGACACCTGATAAATAATATGGTGTACGGATACCCTGCTCGCTCTGGTGGGGCCCCTCTGGAGGGGCGGGAACGGCACGAAACCTAGTAATAAAAGATGGCGTGCGAATGCCCTGCCCGCTCTGGCGGGGCCTCCTTGGAGTGGCGGGAGGGGCACGAAACCTGATAAATAATATGGTGTGCGAATGCCCTGCCCGCTCTGGTGGGGCCTCCCTGGAGGGGTGGGAGGGGCATGAAACCTGATAAATCATATGGTGTGCGAATACCCTGCCCGCTCTGGCGGGGCCTCCCTGGAATGTTGGGAGGGGCGCGAAACCTGATAAATAACATGGTGTGCGAATACCCTGCCCGCTCTGGTGGGGCCTCCCTGGAGGGGTGGAGGGGCACGAAACCTGATAAATAATATGGTGTGCGAATGCCCTGCCCGCTCTGGTGGGGCCTCCCTGGAGGGGTGGGAGGGGCACGAAACTTGATAAATAACATGGTGTGCGAATACCCTGCTCGCTCAGGCGGGGCCTCCCTGGAGGGGTGGGAGGGGCACGAAACCTGATAAATAGTATCGTGTGCGAATGCCCTGCCCGCTCTGGTGGGGCCTCCCTGGAGGGGTGGGAGGGGCACGAAACCTGATAAATAACATGGTGTGCGAATACCCTGCTCGCTCAGGCGGGGCCTCCCTGGAGGGGTGGGAGGGGCACGAAACCTGATAAATAACATGGTGTGCGAATACCCTGCCCGCTCAGGCGGGCCTCCCTGGAGGGGTGGGAGGGGCACGAAACCTGATAAATAACATGGTGTGCGAATACCCTGCTCGCTCAGGCGGGGCCTCCCTGGAGGGGTGGGAGGGGCACGAAACCTGGTAAATAACATGGTGTGCGAATACCCTGCTCGCTCAGGCGGGGCCTCCCTGGAGGGGTGGGAGGGGCACGAAACCTAATAAATAACATGGTGTGCGAATGGGGCCTCCCTGGAGGGGTGGGAGGGGCACGAAACCTGATAAATAACATGGTGTGAGGAAAGGCATGGTATGGTATGGGATGGTGGATGTATGGTAAGGTATGGTATGGTATGGAGTGGCATGGTATTGGTATGTTATGCTACAATATGGGATGGTGGAGGAAGTCCCTGGAGGGTGGGAGAGGCACGAAAACTTATAAATAACATGGTGTGCGAATACCCTGCTCGCTCAGGCGGGGCCTCCCTGGAGGGGTGGGATGGGCAGGATACCTGATAAGTAACATGGTGTGCGAGTAGCCTCCCTGGGTGTACCTGAGGGGTGGGAGGGGCACGAAACCTGATAAATAATATGGTGTGCGAATACCCTGCCCGCTCTGGTGGGGCCTCCCTGGAGGGGTGGGAGGGGCACGAAACCTGATAAATAACATGGTGTGCGAATACCCTGCCCGCTCAGGCGGGGCCTCCCTGGAGGGGTGGGAGGGGCACGAAACCTGATAAATAACATGGTGTGCGAATACCCTGCTCGCTCAGGCGGGGCCTCCCTGGAGGGGTGGGAGGGGCACGAAACCTGATAAATAACATGGTGTGCGAATACCCTGCTCGCTCAGGCGGGGCCTCCCTGGAGAGGTGGGAGGGGCACGAAACCTGACAAATAACATGGTGTGCGAATACCCTGCTCGCTCAGGCGGGGCCTCCCTGGAGAGGTGGGAGGGGCACGAAACCTGACAAATAACATGGTGTGCGAATACCCTGCTCGCTCAGGCGGGGCCTCCCTGGAGGGGTGTGAGGGGCGCGAAACCTGATAAATAACATGGTGTGCGAATACCCTGCTCGCTCAGGCGGGGCCTCCCTGGAGGGGTGGGAGGGGCACGAAACCTGATAAATAACATGGTGTGATGAAAGGCATGGTATGGTATGGGATGGTGGATGCATGGTATGGTATGGTAAGGTATGGTATGGAGTGGCATGGTATTGGTATGGTATGATACAGTATGGGATGGTCGAGGAAGCGGGAGGAGGAGGAGGAGGAGGAGGAGGAGGAGGAGGAGAGGATGTTCTGGGAAAACAAGAACCCCACTCAGGATGTGGGGAATAAAAAGTCCGGACCGCAGAGGTCGGGGAATAAGCCTTGATGTTCGGCTCCCGTTAGGCCACGGGGCCCCGGTACAATGTTGCAGGGGCCGCCATGGTTAAATTTCCGGTCCATCCTCCCCCCTCTACTATTATAATCGCCAACTGGGGTGACGACCGGAAATCCGCATTCCGCCTAATACTTCCTCCCAAAAAACCGGACGCTTTTCAGGCGACCAGAAATTCTCAGTGGCGATTGGGAATTGGCGATTTCGCTTGGGACTTCGATTTCCAGTCCCAGTTATGTTGCTTGGAAGTTGCGATTCTGCTTGGTACTTCTTGCCAGTCATGTTTACCTCTCAGGGAGCGACGATGCAAGGGGGCCTGCAGTGCCGATCCGGACTTTTTAATCCAGGGAGTGGTACTTCCCGTCAGCTGCGGCACCTCAAGCTGCGACACCTCAAGAAGGGCCTCGCCTTCGAGGATCGATGGAGTTGCCATCTCTTTTGCGGCGGAAGGCGGCGGAAGGTCGGCGGAAGGCGGCGGAAGTAAAACGAGGCCGGCTCCGCTGGCGGAAGGCTAGCAGGAGGGCAGCGGCAGCCAGCAGCGAAAGCAAAAGATGCGCCCCCAAGAGATGGAAACGTTTTTGGGGGCTCAGGGTTGCCGGAATCGGCCAGCTGTTGCAGGGTGTCTTCCTGTCCCGGGCGGGGGCGCGGCGTCCGCTGCGAGCCTGCTTGCCGTGGTGCGGGGAATTCGCCTGCGCGGCGCTGCCCTGTGCGCCTTGCTCTGTCGGGCATGTCCCTCTACAGGGGGAAGATTCAAGCATAGTCCAAAAATAGTCTGGGGACGATTTTCCGACGATTGGTTGTTGAGTCGGTTTGTTGAAGATGTTTGGGCTATTTCTTATCTTGCTTCCAGAATCCGACTGTAGGAGGATATGCCCGACCAAGCTTTGCCCTTTTGCCCTTCCGCAGCCAGCCTGGCTCGGGCAGCCAGCCTGGCCACGGGTCAGCGGGCTGACGGGGCGGACAGCC